GGGCTGGGGCTTGTATCTTACCCCCTTTCTGAGGCGCTGGGTTCTCGCAGGTGTGGATGTGGTCTGGCTATTTTCCTGTGTCTTCTGGTCTCTCTTTTAGGAAGAGTTTTCTTTGTTGTATTTTCAAAAATATATGTGGTTTTGGGAGGAGATTTCCGCTGCTCTACTCACACCGCCATCTTCAAACCTGTCATCTGATTTTTTTTTAATCATCCATTTTTAAGAGGAAGAGACGAGTATTGAACATTAGAGTCAGTGTAGAATAGTCTGTTTTCTATCAAAATCATAATTACTTGAATCTCATTTTACTCAAGTATTCATATAATAATTTTAATATGGCTTTTTAAGTCTTTGCAACCTTCTTGTTCATTATTAAGGCTTTCAAATTAAAAATTTTAGGTTAGTAGAGTACCCTGTTCTCATTAGTAAGCACTTTGCAAAAGCAATGTACACAACCAAATGGGAAATCCTTGAAGTTTCCCCTGTATTTTATTTTTTATGTATATTGTATTAAATGCAATATTTTATCAGCTATTTGATGTGTGTTTAATCAATGTCAAAAATAGATAGGTTAAAAGAAGACAGTATATCAAAATACAAATGCAGTATAAATTACAATTAGTAGACAGATTAACTATTATACTTGATAATAACTGTAAGAAATAGCTTTGTCAAAATGGAGAGAAACCCAGCTATCAAATGTGATCACACTGTATTTTATTGTTCTGACATTGAGTTTACCATTGGTTGTTGTCACATGACTACTTAAGTTGCATTGGCTATATTGGTTCTTAAAGAAACTTTCAAAGGAACTTTCTGCCTTTCAGAAACATGTAACTTTTTATCCTTTTCCAGGATATGGAAAAATGAAATAAATAATACAAATACTTCAAGAGTTTTACCTCATCCTTCTTTTGTTTACACTGCTAAATTCCATCCTGCTGTAAAAGAGCTGGTGGTTACAGGATGCTATGATTCTGTTATACGGATATGGAAAGTGGATATGAGAGAGGATCCAGCCATACTGATCCGACAGTTTGACACTCACAGGAGTTTCATCAACTCTCTCTGTTTTGATATCGAAGGTATGTCAGAAGATATATTCCAAATAAAGGCTAGTTGCATGAAGAATTTTTTTAATTTTTTTATTTCACTAGGTTAATAATTATTTAAATTTGAGTGGGATTTTATGTATTTTTGGTTGTGTGTATTTACATTTATGCATATTTTGCAGATCATATGATAGACCTGTGCATAGATTTGGCACTGAGTTTTACCTGTAGTTTTAAAGTCATTACATTCATAAACATGCAAGTGTTTAAACAATCGAAATTCAACTGATATTGTAGCAGCCAGTCATGATCCAAATTTTATAACTATATTTCACTGGATTGGTGTAGGTTTTTTATAATAAGAGCCTCTTAAGATGTAAACTGAGGAAATGAGGGAATCTCAAATGAATATTGGAAATGTATTTTTTAAATGTAGCAACAGGTTTTTTAAAGGTACAGAAACATATGGAAAGGAAATTTGCAATTATTTATTTATATTATATAAGTAATATAGTGTCTTAAAGATAAAATATAGATTATTTTATCAGCTGAAAGAATAAAGAAATTTCATTATATCTATTAAATAGTTACCTTTCACATTTCAGATGCTAAATATGTAGACTGTAACTATAATTAATTAGTAATGATAATACTACTAATGTACTCAGTTCAACTATAAGGATGTTAAACTGGAATACATTCAGGAGAGGTCAACCAAGGATAGAAAATTATCTGAAAACTGTTATAAAAGAAGTAGCTCAGATTATAGAAGAGGGACGAAGAATTTCTTCAGATACTTGGCTAAGATATCTTTATGTGAAAAAGAAAGAAAAATCAGTCTGTTTCTCCAGTAGGTAGAGGTGGGGCCAAAGCTGCAGAAACAGATTCTCTCTGCTGAGAACTAGAAAGAACATTCTAATACATAGAGCATCAGTTGAATAAGCTGCTTTTATAAAGTTCACAGTTGCTGAACAGCCATCTGTTGGTAATGTTATGTAAGATATTCCTGAGTAGGTATGAGGTTGAACTTGATTTGGTGGTCTCTGAGGTCCCATTCTGCTGTAAGATGGTTTGACTCCAAGAATTGATGTGAAACTGAAACACTATTTATGAGTTTATTCATTCTCTGATCACTTATTCAATTCCTACTGGTCTCAGACATCATGCTGACAGTATTTATTTAGAATAAAGGTGTTTTTCCATGAATATGAAGCATTATATGGATTAATAAAGGTAAGCACTAGAGATGCATATTGTGTAATTCAAACAAATTGTTTGGCTTTGGAATATGAGCAGTATACACATGCACTGACATGCACATTTCTTCTTGTATTCAAATTCAGGAAAGCAACAACGAAAAATCAAAAATAATTTTTAAAACTTAATAAATTCATTTAAAGATAATTGAGATTTCCTTATGAGTTGCGTTTGATTTCCTGTTTTCTTAAAACAAATAAATAGCCCTCTGATTCTTGGCTATTTTGCTTGGATATGTTTTCCCGATTTCTAATTATTTGTTTCAACCTCTGTGTAACATTAATAAATGAGTAATTTAATTTTTTTAAATAGGTCATCACATGTATTCAGGAGACTGCACAGGGGTGATTGTTGTTTGGAATACCTATGTTAAGGTTAATGATGTGCAACATTCAGTGCACCACTGGAGTGTTAATAAGGTATAAAATCCTATTTCTTATTTTGGGATTTAGTTAAACTGAAAAGCCATGCAACCACATGATTTTATTTTAGACATTAGAACATTCTGTTCTCTCTTCAGAAAACTTAAGTTGGGAGTATAAATTGTTGTGGCCACTATGGAAAGCAGTATGGAGCTTCCTCAAAAAAACTAAAAATAAAAATACCATATAACCCAGTAACTGCACTTCTAGAAATTTACCCAAAGGAAACAAAATCTCTCATTTGAAAAGATATATGCACCCCTATGTCCATTAGTAGATGAATGGATAAAGAAGCAGTGGTACATACACACCGTGGAATATTATTCAGCCATAAAAAAAGAAAGACATCCTGCTATTTGCAACAATATGGATGGGCCTAGAAGATATTATGCCAAGTCAAAAAATCAAGGCAGAGAAAGACAAATACCATATAATTGCATTTATATGTGGAATCTAAAAACAAAACAAAGCAAAATGAACAAAACAGCAGTAGACTTACAGACACTGAGAAGTGACTAGTTACCATGGAGGAGGGGTAGGAGTTGGGGTGGGTGAAGAGGATAAAGAGGCACAAAATCTCAATCATAGTATAAGTTGGTCATGAGGATAGGAAGTGCAGCATGGAGAACAGTCAGTGATTCTGTAACATCTTTCTATGTTGACAATAACCAGACTAGTTGGGGTGAGGATTTAATAATAGGTGTTACTGTTGTATCACTGTCTTATATACCTGAAACCAACACAATATTGCATATCAACTATGCTTCAATAAAAAATAAATGAAAATAAGAAAGAATAAGCAGAACAAATCTTAAAAAAAAAACGAGTTTTTCTCAGTCTCTGAAAAGTCAGTTATTATTGATTAATTCCCATGTCTTCCTGATGGCTAATTGATGATATAGTGACTTAGTAAAAATTTTCTTGAATTTGGCCAGGCTTTACTTTCATTATTTTGAGGCTTACTTGCAGTATAGTATTCAGTGATTCAGTGATCCATTACTGAAATTTGTGTTAAAATGAGGTATTTATTACATTAACATCTCTAAGTAATAACATATTTTCAGCTATATTCATATACTGCTTTTTTGGTCCAGTAACATCACTCTCAAAACAATGTATTCAATGTTTTGTTAACAGTGCTTGTCTTTTACAATTGTGTAATCAAAATCATGTGATTATGAAGGGGGTCAATTATTTAATAACAATCATTGTTTCACTTTAAATTTGTTAGCTAGTCAGAAACAAATGAATAATCTCTTTTTTGGATTAAAGTGTTTCTAAGGTGGCCTATATTAAGCAATTTCGTTGGTGTATATTTAACATTTTTAAAAAATACAAAGTAAGTTTGTTTTAAATAAATTAATTCAGTTTCTGTCTTACATGCTATAACCCATTCTTCATAATAGGTTATAACAATTGTTGTTGTTTTGAACAAAAGACACCCTAAGTGGAAAATAATTTTCATGAATTTTAGTTCAATCTGTTGAGTCTATCATCTATTTTAGAAAGTCTGTTTTAGTCATTCTCATCTAGTCTGTCAGATTAATGAATGATGGCTTGGGATTCATGTTGTAGCCTAATTTTACATACTTTGAAAAGAACTTTCTAATTACTTAGGTACTTGAGGGATTGGCAAGGCTCCAAAAGCATCAATTCCAGTCATTTGGAGTCTGCAATGCAGAGTCTGTTTGCGTTAAAAATCATGTGTTTCTTTCCCTCAATATAGTAACCAAGAGGCAAATTTACCTTGAAATCTGCAGCCCGTGATTACTAAAGACAGTCAAAAATAAAGTTAGGAAATGAGCTGGAATATCTCTATAATAGCTTATGTCCTAGGACAAAATGGAGACTTCAATTTCTTATTTGGTTCTCTTCAGCCAGTAGTTTGGTGACTGCTAAAATAAAGTGTCCATGTGCTGTTGTACACAATCCTAGGTACAGGATGGCTTCAGAAATAGGGCTTTTTTAGTTTGAGCATGCATATGATAAAAATATGGAGGAATTTATTAACAGATATTATGTCTTAGTCAGGTGTCCCCTATCACTGCCTTAAATAGCTATAAAAAAACCCTAAAATTGCAATCTAAATTAAATGATTTCAAAATAAGTTGCTGGTAACATACACTTTTCAGGATATATATGAAGGTGTATATGAAGAAATAATCTGAGACTACAGTAGATCTTTAAAGTTAATTTTACACTTTTGAATTTATAAAAATTGAAAGCTTACTTAAATGATAAACAGAAAAATACAAAATTAGAAGATGTGTTTATAGGAAGTGCTTCTTGTTTGGAAATACACTACAAAAACACATACTAATTGAATATTGCATTACATGACAACCAAAAAATACTTTTCATCGGCTTTATTTTCAACCTTAAACTGAAGTTAGCAGGAATCTTTTTTGCCAACAATTTTAATGGATTCTGTATAGTGCATTTGGAAATGACATCTTAAAATTAATTTTATACTCCAAAAAGGGCTGAACATTAGACAAACTTTACAGTGGTAATATTTTATAATCTGTTTTTAATCATTTTAGGAAATTAAAGAGAGTGAGTTTAAGGGGATTCCAATAAGTTATTTGGAGGTTCATCCCAATGGAAAACGTTTGTTAATCCATACAAAAGACAGTACTTTGAGAATTATGGATCTCCGAATGTAAGTATATTTCAGTACTGACAGGTTAAACACCCATAGAATAAGTAATGAATAAATTCACCTTTTTAAAATGCAGCAGTAGTTCTCAACTAGACAATTTCTTCTGTCACAGGATGTCTGACAAAGTATGGAGACATTTTTTGAGTGTTGATTCTAGCTATCTAGAGTGTAGAAACCAGAGATACTACTAAGCATCTGAAATTTTCAGGACACCCTGTACAGCAAAAAATCACCTGGCCCAAGATGTGAATAGTTCTGAGGCTGAACTTTAGTCAGTTAATTTTTATTTGCACAATTAAAAAAAAGAAACTTTTACATAGAATATCTTTTAGCTCTAGGATATTGGCATAGCATAGTATCATGACTGAATGAGAGGACTTTTGATTAATATATCCTTGTTCTTCTTTTTTACTTCTAAATAAGGCAAATGAAGGGAAATAGCCTTAATATAAATGGCAGAAGCAGAGTTCTGGGAAATTGAGCATGGACTTCTGGTGTGCTTTTTGTCTGAGGAGTTCCTAAAAGACAAATGAGAAAAGGCTATTGTATTAGATTTCGTTATTGTATTTAGAAAGGCAAATGTGATCATCTGTATTAGTTTGTTTTGCAATTATCTTTTTATGGCTAAACCTTAAGCCCTTCAGTATTTATGTAGAACTGTTGACTACGCTGGTGTGTGTGCTGTGGAAGAATGATAAGCAGAAATAGCTCATCAGAAGTTTGTAATCTAAGAAGTTTGTACTGCCTCCAAAGTAACATACAAAACATTTAATTAAGTTAAATTGTGAGATCTAGAACTAGAATCTGCTTATTCTTTTTTTTTCCTATACATAGCACCCATGTCATGCCTAGCAGACAGCAAGTATTAATGTGTTTTTTATGAATATAAATGTATAATAGGGCTATACGTATGCCAACAATAAAGCAGATAGCTATAGAATGGTCTCCTGTTAAAGGCTCTGTGGAAAGGCTAGCCTTTGAGCTCAGTCTTGAATGATAAATAGAATTTAGACAAGATGGAAATATTTTTAGTAGGGTGGAAAACATGAAAATTCCATGAAAAGGAATACAGTTCAGAGAGAGAATAATATGTGTTTAAGGCAGAATGAGTTAGTCTGTATGACCATAAGTTTCTTGATAAGGAGTGCTACAAGAGAATTTTTTGAAAGTAAGATCAGAGCTAGATTTTAGAAGGCAAGGCCTAAGAAGTTTGGTTATTATTCCCTTTTTAAGCAGTATAGATCATGCTTGGGCTCTAGAGACAAATTGTTTAAATCAAAAACTGCATTTCCCACCCCTGACTAGCTGATTAACTTCTCTGTGCCTCTCTTTCCTCATTGCTCAAAAGGGAGAAATAATAAACCAAACTCAGAAAGGTTTTGTAGGGAATAAACTAATTTATACATGTAAAGTACTTACACATTACAGCACATAGCAAGAACTCCAGGAATGTTTGACCCAGTAACTTCAGGTCTGGGAATTTATGTTAAGAAAATAGCTATGAAACAGTAGAAAACATATACATAAGGTTGTTCATAGAAATCATGTTCACGGTAAGGGAAACTGGAAACATCCCAAGTGTTGTCCAACAGCAGAAAACAAGATACAGTTAGTGATAAAATACATCCCTATTAAAATGATAATCATAATCTTTATTTTCTGATGTGAAGGGCCATTATTCATGATTTGTTGTTGACTGAAAAAGCAAATACCAGATAAAAAAGAAAGACAAAGCAGTGTATATAATATCCTCTCTGTAAATCAGAGATGATAGTAATAGTACCTACCTGGCACATAGTAATCACTAAAACACATTAACTATTACTCATAAGTGAAAAAGTCTGGAGGTTGTGTACCATAGTTAATAGATGATTTAATAATCATCTCCTGTTTCTGCAAGGATCAAATATTCATTGAATGATTTTTAAAAATTCATCACAAAGAGGAGATAATATAAAAAGTCTGTTAATTTTTTAGTCACCAACTCAAATACTATTTCCGTAAAGTAGTCTCTCTTTCCCTAGTTAGAGAGAGATCATCACTCTTATCCAAATCTGCTAAGTACTCTTTCTGTTCTTTTTTTGCGGCACTTTCTACATCTACTTTCTATTTTACACTGATGGATTTCCTCTCTCTCCTGCTAAATTAAAAGCTCCCTGAGCTCTGACACTACCTCATCTTTATTCTGTGTCGTCATCGACTGTCACCCACATTAAGGATTCTCAAAAATTATTTGTTAAATGTAAATGAAGTATTTAAAAGTTTTTCTACCTCTAGTCTTTTAAATGGATGAGACAGATTACATTTGTAAAATCTTTTTTGTTTATAGATTAGCAGCAAGGAAATTTGTAGGTGCAGCAAATTATCGGGAAAAGATTCATAGTACTTTGACACCATGTGGGACTTTTCTCTTTGCTGGAAGTGAGGATGGTATAGTATATGTTTGGAACCCAGAAACAGGTAAATATTTCAATGGTTTTCAAAAAATATTTATTTTTTGTTTCTGAAGAAGTATGAAAATTACCATTTTATGAAATAATTTTCAAGGAAATTCTGATTTCAGATCCTCAGTTAAGTTTTTCAAAATTGAAAAGTTGGTAACTCAGCTACATTCTAAATTTATATTACATTCTGTTCTGTATTCTGACACCTACTTGGATTTAGAATTTCTCATTGTAATATTCTTTCCCTACCTCTGAGATATTGTTAATATTAAGTATTTAATGCAGATTATAATGAAAAATACAAAATGTTATAAACTGAATTTGAACTATAACGCTAGGAATTCAAATGGCTAGACATCTGTGATATATTTTTGTTAGAAACAAATATACCTGTCAAAGTTTTTAATGTCTGAAACTTAATAGCAATTACTGAATTACTGTAATTCAATTTTTTCCAATAAAAAATGAACTATTACATTAGGTTGTTCATTTGAACCTCACCTTTGTTTTTCATGAGAAAAGCTAAAACTATATAAACATTTTTTAGCAATGAATTGAGAGAATTATATAAAATTTACTTCAAAACTCCTTTAAAGAACAGTATTTGACTTCACCTTGTTTATTCTTTGGATCTAGGCACTTAACTAGTCATTTCACTTAGAGACTTTTTTCTTACTGTGTTTTGATACTTTAGCATCAGTTTGGAAGTTTTAAATCTCTTCTCCCCCTCAATAAGTGGATCTAGAGTCTTTGCTTTTTGACTTTTACTTTTCATAGGTTCCCTAAAACTCTGCTGTAGGCCTCTTTTAGCATTAATCATCATATATATCTTTAAAGCAGATGGTACCTCAGAGAACTCTGGGAAAAAAATAGAAAAATTAATTCCCCATTAAACCTCCCCTTACCAGAGTTCCTTCAGTTTTTGAGCCTGCAGTTTCAGGAATTCTTTGTTAGATACAATTTGCTCCGCTCTGTCAGATCCCAGAGTCAGGTACTTCTCTACTTCTAAATTCTCTGGCATTCTTTGTACAGTGAAAACCTCACTGAAGTGGTCGGATTGAAGTAGAAAAAGGGCCAGTAGAATGAAAAATAATTATTTTACTTAATCACATTAAAATTTACTTAATTAAATTAAATTTACTTAATAAAGGTAATTATATTAATACATGGTACTCAGATATTTATAAGTATCTGAGTTTTTATGTAAATAATAGCATCATCATTAATATTTGGTGATATTGTATAAATATTTTTAATAAGTTGCAGAATAATCTAATGAGAAATATCTGATACAGTACAAATTTTTTGCTGTCTTTTCTTACTTAGGAGAACAAGTAGCAATGTATTCTGACCTGCCATTCAAGTCACCCATTCGAGACATTTCTTACCATCCACTTGAAAATATGGTTGCATTTTGTGCATTTGGGCAGAATGAACCAATTCTTCTATATATTTATGATTTCCGTGGTAAGTCCACTTTCAGATAAATAAAGAATATTTGGAGTAACTTTACATTTAGACTGAACCTGGAATTAGGAGCTCTGTGAAAACTGTCCTTAGTATGAACAAGGCTCTCTTGAATATAGTTTAAGAGCGAAACAGATTAGATTAATTATTGTTATGTTATAACAATTTATTTTTCCATAGCACTATTATTATGGAGTTTAAATATCAGTGGAAGTATACATAATGGTTGTGCCCTTTTCTTGGAATCACAAAAAGGTGTAATCATCACTTTATAAATCAATTTAAATAAATAAAATTAACAAAAAAGTATTTGGAAGTGTGTTAATTAAATTTAAAAGGTAAATAACATTTACCAAGTATAAATGTTTAATGCTTTCAGTTTTAATAAGTCATAGTTTTGAGAGTTTCTTAACATAAGAAGGCAAAAAAATCAAATATCAATGAAAACAAGACTTGGAATTAGAAGTCTCATGTCTTTCTCTACTCTAAAATTGCACTCTTCTATCATTCTGAGAGATAAGGAAATAAAGACTTTGGATACAGTTTTCAGGAATAGTATGGCATTCTTAGGATTATTAGGTTTATGCTGTTTTTTGATAAGGATTGTGCTAAATCTTGGATTAGTCAAAACTGCATTTCCATTTTCTTCATATACTAATTCTTAAACAAAAAGAACCAGTCTTTATTAGTCTCTCTTTCTTGTTTAGAATGTCATGTATCAAGTCTCACTGTTGTAAAGTAAGCTGGGATAGCTTACATACAATGTCATAAATGTGTACATATGCAAATATGTTTGTAGTTTACATTAGTATGGATCTATTTGGGCAAAGAGTTTTGAATTTAAATATAATGTGAGTGACTGAGTTCATTGCATTAATACAGATAGAATTGGTTTTAATGGTTGTGATAAGTGCTAAGTTATTAGCCAGTTAAGTTCTAAATCTGAAGTTCTTGATCATAGTATGGATTTTATTATGCCTTTCCAGGTGAATTATATTACAAAGTAATGTGTAAAATTAAGATTTAGCATACTTTAAATAATTTTACAGAGAAGAAATAAGGAATTTTTCTAACACATATTCACATTTACAGAACACTATTACTAATGGTAGAATTTTTAAACAACACAATACTATATAATAAAAGTTGGTAAAAATAAGCATTGCCAGATTAGAGAAAAAAAAGAAATGGATTTTTCAAATCATCCAGTGTCCAAATCTGGTGTCTAGTTCAAAAATGTATACTGAAACAGGTCTTTCTTTGTAATCACTCTCAGTTTTCACATAAAGGAGAAAAGTTATACCTACATGCTTTATAATTGGAACTGTTATACAGGAAATAGGCAGCACAGTTATTTCCTCACTCTTAAAAGGTTTCACAACATTCTTCATTCAAGTTCTAATTTGCTTTTTTAGGCTTTTAAAATTTTCATCACAAATGCAATTTAAAGTTCCACTCTTATCTTTTTTTTTTCTTCAGTTATTTTTCGCCATTGATACGGGAATTTCATGATTAAATTAACCCAGTTAGGTTTGCCCATTTGGTTTTAAGACAGCCATTTAGACCAAGAAGTCTGTTCTGGAAATGTAAGTAGATAGAGCAAAGTATTTTAGGATCCCAAAAATGAAGGTTTTAGGCTCAGTTCTGTTTCTTTAGTGACCTTGCATAAGCCTCTTACCTTCTGAAGCTCCATTTCCTTATCTAGTAAATGATACTACTAGTGTTAATACCTGTACTACCTAAGAGTTATTTGTGAGGATACATGAGACGGACTGTGGAAGTACTCCACAAGTTGATAAACATTGTATTAAAACTAACAAAAAAGATAAAATGGGTTGTTGTCATGTTCATCTAACCAGTATGTAATCGACTGTTTTTTTTAAGCATCTCTGTATGCAGTGGAATTTTAAAAAAAAATCACCCTCTTTTACTTTCTGTTGGCAGCCTTTTTCTTTCTATTAAACGGTTTACCTTTCTAAGTCAGTTGTATTGGAAAATAAATGCATAACATTAAGAACATTATGCTATATCATGCCATCTTAACATAGAACAGGAAGGGCTTGTGTTTTAGAAATTACAATGTTCAAGTAATACACAGGTGAAGTTAAAATTATTTTGTTCAATGTATTTAGATCACAATTCTTGATATACTGATACACCTTTACAAACAAATGAAAGCTCAAAATGTTTCAACATGTTTTCCCAACTCTGCTGCCTATTTTTAAAAAGGGGAAGCTTAGGAAGAAGTTATGTAATCTCAAGCAATCCAAGATTTAGCACAGTTCTTGTGAATGGTATATATTCATAACAAAAAGTTACTTCAGATTCTAAAATTGTACTCATTAAATACAGACCATAATCATCAAGTCAAATAGTCCTTAAATTTTTCATTGAAAACTATATTTATTATTTGCCTGTTATAGTTTTACCTTGTATTTTATTTATATTTTAATTCAAGAATATTTTGCCCAAACTTTGAAGATAAAGCTTACATAAAGCTTTATTACATAAGCGCATTTAATGGTATAAAATTTGAAAGATACATAACAGTTACATGATTTTTAAGTAGTATTGCAGAGCTGCTGATATATGTTCAGGTAATTTTCAAGGAAAATAGAACAAGCTCATTTTTTTATAAGCTAAATAAACTGCGAATGAGACCACAGTGGTAGCTAAATGTATCATCCATCTTTCAGTTCTAGCAAAATCTGTAAAGCGTCAGCAAGCATCTTTCCCTGTTAAGCATATGTTCAGGTTGTGGTCTTTTGGGTCTTTCATTCTACTGACTTTTTGCTTTTTTTGGTAAGAAATATGATTTTTACTTTCAGAAGCCAGTTTTATTTGCCTGGTGTTGAAAGGGTTAATCATCTAGTAATACAAAATTTAGTCACAGAGTACCACAAATAATGTACTTTTAGGATTCCCATAATAACAGAGTACTAGTCAGAGAAACGGCTCCTACTGAATTAAATTTATGAAGCTAGACTTTAGCAATTAATGTTCTGTTATTAATCAGTTCTTGTCTACTTTAATCTCTAGGATCCTGTTTTACATTTAATAATAATCATAGCTAATACTGAGCACTTTCTGTGTTCCTGTTATTGTTTTAAGCACTTTACATGTATTTAATTTTTCATAATAATCTTATGAGATAGGTACTGTAATTTTCCCCATTTTACAGGATAAGACTTTGTTCTATACAGTCTGAACTTCGACACCATGCTCTTATTTGCTACACAAAACTACCTTTTTAGCAGATTCCTGAAATATTACCTCTTGATTATTTAATAAGCATACTTCCTTTTTCCATACAATACCATTTTATTGTATGCCTCTCTATGCAGTATGTGATTTCTTTGTGTTATCTATACTTTATAGAAAGCAGAGATGGAGGCTTTTTCATCTTTTTTTACCAGTACCTATCTGAATGCTGATGTATAATGAATATACATGTAGTATTTTAAGTAGAGTTGTCCTAATTTGGAAAGTTCTCAGAATTGGTTGATGATCCCAGGTAATGAGCCTAATTTTTCACTAGGTGGCAGTATCTCTTCTGAATCAGTATTAACTCTGGAGTGTTTTTCAGTCATAGGGCCTTAGGGGAGACAAATCTTTATTGAGTATCTATTGTGTTGCCAAATTGAACAAGGCTGTGAGACCTGGGAGTCAGACTCTTTGATTCTTTCATGCTTCCTATGTAGTTGATTAAACCTCTGGAAGAATCTTACTTAAACTGAAAAGCAGTCCTTATCATTGACACTAAACATGATTTTTTACCTAAAATTCATATTCATTAAATAGCCACCTACAAAGTCATTGTTGATAGCTTTACTTTTCACACTATGACATATTTACACAGAGTTTGGGCAGTATATACTTTTACATTCCTATAAAAATGTTTTTATATAACTTACTCATTGACCAAAAAGTTCATGGTGTTTATTACACCCTATATCTAACATAGTACCTGGTATATTACTGATGAGCAATAAATGTTTGAAATAAGAATTACAGGTCCTGTAGAATATCATTTTTCCCTTAAGTTTTTTAAAAATGCAAAATAATAGGCATGGTCTATTAGTAAACTTTGGGTCTAATAATAATAATAGTGATAGTATTAGCCAAGATGTTATGAGTGTTCACTGTGTGTCCCTTTTTCTTATGAACATTTTACATACATTATCTAATACAGTCCTCACAAAACCCCACAACGCAGATGCTATTATTATCCGCATCTTGAAGATGGTGAAACTGAGGTACAGGGAGAATGAAGTAATTTGCTTACCAAGTGTTAAAGCTGTCTCCAGGGCCCATGCACTTAAAACATTAAGCTATCTGTTATAGCTACTTATTTAGTCTTTGTTATTTCCTATTTCATGAAGTAACTTAAATTAAGAAGGTAACCAAATATTCCTGTGATGAAATATATTGTTTGTTTTCAATTTTTATGTATAGGAGGGCCTCAAGATTAAAAAGAACTGTGGTTAGTTTATCTAGTATAATAGTAGTTCACTCCTTTACAAATGTTGGGCGTAATTTAATGGATTAAGCCATTATCTTCCCAGTATAGTCCAAAATATAAATTTTCTTTGTTATGTAACATTAAAATTTAATATAACTACTTTTACAATATTTTGCAATAAGATAATGTCTAGTTGAAATAAATTTAACAACCATAGTTTGTATAATTTAATGGTACTCTTGAAATACTAATGGTGAATAATTAAAAAGCAAACAGATGTTACAGTCCTCATACTTGGATAAAAAAATTATGCAGTAACAGAATATAACTGATTATATTCTGGGTCAGAGTTTTAAATATCTGTTATTAGCCTGGTAGGAGAAACTAAGAGATAGAAATACCAAATTTTAGGACATGCTGAAACTACCTATTTTTGGTTGTATACTGAAGCATCTGTTTTAATGCTCTTCACATAATGGATACTTTGATTTTTGAAGGCTTGTGTCATTCAAGGATTCAGAACATACAGAAAACTTGG